GCTTCGTCTCTGAAGCATGGCCTCCCGTGTCCTTGTCTCTGGTCTTCCCCGGTCCCTCCCTCCCCTTCCTCCGGGGCCTGGCCCTACCTGCGTCCCCTGCGTCGAGGGGCGGCAGCGGGCTACCCCTCACTCCTCCCAGTTTCCTCCGACAGAGGCCCCGTTGCAGACGCTTCACATGGACGTGTGGGGCCCAGCCCGCGTCCATGGACAGGGTCATGAGCGCTACTTCCTGCTGGTGGTTGACGACTACTCGCGTTACACCACAGTCTTCCCCTTGCGCAGCAAGGGTGATGTCACTGAGGTGTTGATCGACTGGATCCGCGCAGCTCGTCTCCAGCTCAGGCGGAGCTTCGGCTCGGACTTTCCTGTTCTGCGTCTGCACTCTGACAGAGGCGGAGAGTTCTCCTCTGGCCTTCTGCGAGCCTACTGTCGTGCGCGAGGCATCCGCCAGACCTTCACGCTTCCGGACTCTCCACAGCAAAATGGGATTGCTGAGCGCCGCATTGGCATGGTCATGGACGTCGCCCGTACGTCCATGATGCATGCGGCTGCCCCCCATTTTCTGTGGCCGTTTGCGGTCCGGTACGCGGCGCATCAGATCAACCTTCAGCCCAGGGTCTCCATGCCGGAGACCTCCCCAGCTTTGCTATGGACGGGGAAGGTTGGCGATGCGTCTGCGTTCCGTGTCTGGGGATCTCGGGCGTTTGTCCGCGACTTGTCTGCGGACAAGCTGTCCCCTCGTGCTGCTCCTTGCGTCTTCCTGGGTTTCCCCCCTGACGCGCCAGGGTGGCAGTTCTACCACCCCACCTCTCGCTGTGTTCTGCCCTCCCATGACGTCACGTTCGACGAGTCTGTCCCCTACTACTGTCTCTTCCCATACCGCACTCCGTCCCTCCCCCTGCCACCGCTCTTCCTTGTACCAGGTCCCCCCCCCGGTAGACCCCCTCCCCCCTCAGGGTCCTGCCCCTTAAGATGTGTCCCAGGTAGACGATGTCGAGCCTGTCGAGGTCGCTGGTGACTCTAGTGCTGCTGAGGGTGCTGAGCCTGGGGGTGCTGACTCTTAGGGTGCTGAGCGTGTGGGTACTACGCCTGGGGGTGTTGAGCCTGAGGGTGCTACGACTGGGGGTGCTGAGCCTGGGGTTGCTGAGCCTGGGGGTGCTACGCGTGGAGGTGCTGAGCCTGGGGGTGCGGAGCCTGAGGGAGCTGGGCCTGCTGGTACTGTGCCTGGCGGTTCTCCGGGTGCTTCTTCTCGCCGGGAACCACTCTCTCCACAGGAGCTGCGTGAGTGGTTTGCCTGGCGCTGAGGCGAGCTGCTAGAGCTGGAGGTGTTGCCGGTACTAGAGGTTCTGTTGCTGCTAAGGGAGCTGGTGCCACGAGTCCCGGAGGTGCTCGTACGGGGCGTACTGGAGCTGCTGGACCTGCGGGTACTTCTAGAGCTGGAGCTGCTGCGGGTGTTGGCGCGGAGACTACTGCTGTCGGTCCTGGAGGCGGTCTTGCTGGGGGTACTACTGGTGCTGCTGGAGATACTGGAGCTGGAGCTGCTACTGGTGCTGGTGCTGCCTCTGGAGGTGCTGGTGCTGTCCCTGCTGTGTCTGGAGTCGCCGCGCGGCCTCGGCCGTACTTCGTTCCGCTCCTTCAGCAGGTTCTTGGTCTCCCGTCTTCTACTGGCCCTCCTCCTCCCTTAGAGTGTCCAGAGCCTGTCCTGTCGTAGTTACAGTTACAGCCGGCCTCCCCACTGCCTGCTCCGTCTCCTTACACTGGTCCTACAGGAGGTCTTGCTGAGCGTCATGAGCCTGCGTTTCGCCCTGGGTCGCCGGTCCGTGCTGCTCCCACTAGTGGTCGCGGTTCGCGTCAACGTCCTCCTCCTGTCCCTGGCACGCACCGGATGTCTCTGCGTCCGTCGACTGCTCCTCTGCGTGCCCCTTTGCCTTCTCCTCCTGAGTCTTCTCTTCCTGCTCTTGCGGACCCGGAGTCCGACTCTCTTCGTGCTGCCAGTCCTACTGTCACGCGTCTCCTTGCTACTGTTGTCACTGACCCTTCCTTTGAGTCCACCGCTGCGTCTGCCCTAGTTACTGAGCTCGTCGACTTTGCTGCTCGCTGTCGCCTAGACTACGCCGCCAGTCACTACGCTGAGTCTGAGTCTGTCTGTCCTCCGTCCGTCGGGGGTGAGTGTGCCCTTGGCAAGGACGTCCTCGAGGACAGGCAGGAGGAGTTCGAGTGCTTGGCCGCTGCTTCACGTCATCTCGTGTCCGTACTGCTTACCCCTGAGGGAGACCCGGATGCACTTGACATCCCGACTCCGCGCTCTTACGCGGAGGCGATAGAGGGTCCCTACTCCTCTCTGTGGCAGGCAGCTATGGACACAGAGATGGCTTCCTGGAAGTCCACAGGCACCTACGTTGACGCGGTTCCCCCATCTTGGGCGAACATCGTCAGTGGCATGTGGATTTTCAGGGTGAAGCGGCAGCCGGGCTCCCCGCCTGTCTTCAAGGCACGGTACGTGGCTCGTGGTTTCAGTCAGCGGCAGGGAGTTGACTACTTTCAGACCTTCTCTCCTACCCCGAAGATGACCACTCTTTGGGTGCTGCTGCACATAGCCACTCAGCGCGACTACGAGCTTCACTCTCTTGACTTCAGCACTGCTTTCTTGCAGGGTAGCCTGCACGAGGAGATCTGGCTGCGCCGCCCACCTGGCTTCACTGGGAATTTTCGTCCTGGCACCCAGTGGAGCCTCCGGCGGCCAGTCTACGGTCTCCGCCAGGCACTGCGTGAGTGGCACGACACACTGAGGACTACGCTTGCGGCTCTTGGGTTTGCTCCCTCTACTGCTGACCCGTCGCTGTTTCTGCGCACCGACACTTCTTTGCCGCCGTTCTACATCCTCGTGTACGTCGACGACTTGGTCTTTGCCACAGCTGACACTGCTGGACTCGCCCACGTGAAGTCCGAGCTGCAGAAGAGACACACGTGCACAGACGTGGGTGAACTGCGCAGCTACTTTGGCTTGCAGATCACCCGGGACAGAGCACAGCGCACCATTATCCTGACTCAGTCACACATGGTGCAGCAGGTCCTTCAGCGCTTCGGCTTCACGTACTCCTCGCCTCAGGCCACTCCTCTGCCTACTCGTCACTCGCTCTCAGCTCTGCCTTTGGATGAGTCCGTAGAGTCAAGTGGCCCGTACCCAGAGCTTGTTGGCCGCCTCATGTACCTGATGACCTGCACTCGACCTGACCTTGCATACCCTCTTAGCATTCTTGCTCCTGGGAGACACAGACCGGAGCACATGGCTGCAGCGAAGAGGGTGTTGCGCTACTTGTGCAGTACGTCGGGCATGGGGCTTGTGCTTGGAGGGCGGAGTCCAGTGGTCCTCACTGGGCACGCAGACGCTTCTTGGGCTGACGACCAGGCTACGCAGCGGTCGTCACAAGGTTACACCTTCAGCCTTGGTTCCGGCTCTGTTTCGTGGCGGGCTACCCGCTCGTCTTCTGTTCTCGGCTCCAGTTGTGAGGCTGAGATCTACGCCGGGGCCATGGCTGCACAGGAGCTTCGCTGGCTCACCTACCTGCTGACTGACTTTGGAGAGGTGCCTCGTTCTCCTCCAGTGCTGTACGTAGACAACAAGGCCATGCTGGCCTTGTGTCGAGAGCAGAGACTGGAGCACAGAACGAAGCACATTGCTCTTCGCTACTTCCTTGCTCGTGAGCTGCAGCAGCGTGGTCTGCTGCGTCTTGCGTACGTGGCCTCTGAGGCCAACACTGCTGATATCTTCACCAAGGCACTTGCGCCTTGTGATCATCAGCGCTTTTGTACTCACCTTGGTCTTGTGCCTGTCTTGCCTCACTTGCTCACCTCTTGACCTTGCTTGTACTGTTACATATATATATACACCTGCTCTTGCTTGTCTAGCCTTTTCTATATATATGTACTCCTGCATGTGAATTGGCCTTGTGGCCTTGACCTTGTGCTCGGAATGTGTGGTGACTTTGTGATCCACCCTGAGCTTGCTTTGCTTTGCTTTGCTTGACTAGTCTTCTGACCCCTTGTACTCCCCCACTTTGCCTATGGGGGTGTGTCAGAACGTTATAGCTTATGCTTTTGTGTAGGCTGTTGTGGGGTAGCCCATATGGGGTACAACCCAATTAGGGTTAGTACTTGTACCCAACTCTTTCATAGTACATTCATTCTCGTTTCTTCTCAGTGTGCGGCCCGTCCAAACGTCCGCGAAGAGTACCCTCTCGGTAAGAACTTAGATTTTGAATTGTGTTCATGCTTCCTTAAGACTTGGTCCTAATATTCTCAAGAACACATCGCCCATTGTATTTGCAGTTTCATGGTCTTGCGAATGACATAGGGGCCTAGACTACTGGAATCGGTTTCAAGAAGGTAAGTTAGCGGGCACAGGCCCGCAGATTGGTTTGAGGGTATGCTCATCGATCAGCGTGCCCCGGCCGCCCAGGTGTCCAAATCAGCGTTCATGGTTTCTTTTATACTGATTTTGCAAGTGTAAAAATCATAAGTAGACTGAACCATCAATGTAAAAAAGAAAACAAAGTTGAATCACCAATTGAACTCAAAGTTTGCCGCTGTGAGAGTTCCTTCCAGCGATGCAAAGCACGTCGGCACGCGATCTGCTGTACAGCGCATGGCATCTTCAAGTGTGTGGGTGGGGTCTTGTGAATCTCGGGCCAGGTACATACTATACACACGCGTACCCCCCCCCCCCCCCCCCCCCCCCCTTCGAATCGGTCAAGTCCGTTTCAGTGTGACTCACGACACTACACTGATTCGTCAGTTTTACTTCTACAGCAACACGGAAAATGGTCAGTGTGGCAAGGTAGTTTATACTGAAATTTCAGTGCAAAAATGAAGCATGTGCTGAATTTCCAGGGAAAACGAAAATCACAGCTACAAAATCAGCCTGATCAGCGTGTTTTACGCTGATATCTGAGGGCCTGAGCGGGCAACTCCTACCCGTTCTGTCTCACCGCAGTCCCCTTATGTCTCACCTCCTGTCCTTTCTGCACTACCTTCCAACCACTTCCCCCACCTTCCCTCCTTACTGCTTCCTTCTCTCCTCTCCCCTTCCCATCGACACCCTACAATTCCCTCCACCTCATCCCACTTCCATCCGCTACCGTCCCCTCCCCTTTCTAAACTATTCCCGTCCCGTCCATTCCGTTCCTTTCTGTAAACCCTCCACTTCCCTTCCATGCCCGGCTTAACCCTACCCTTCTCTTACCTGGCTTTCCATCCTCATCCCCTTACCTCTGGCACCGGATAACACACACACCATCCTCATGCCCTTACCCCATGCACTCGATAACACACACACACACAGCATCCTCCTGCCCTTATCCCATGCACCCCATACCACATGCACATACTCACCACTCATGCCATTACCCCATGCACCCCATACAACGCACACACACACACACACACACATACACACCTCATCGTTCATGCCCTAATTCACACCTCACTGCATGCCGCACACAACAGCGTGTTGGGCATCGCACATAGCGCCCACCAGCTCATGGACAATGCTGGCGGCGGCTGCTCACCACAATGCTAGCTTCCCCTGCCCGATCCGATGGCCCCATAGCTTCCCCTGCTATATCTTCCCCTGTCTCATGGGTTTTCACTCTTCCCTGCCTTTGTATACCCTCTCTCCCCTCATTCTAGCACCTCCCGTCCCCCTTTCCCGTGCTCCCACTATCCTCACTTCCCTGCATGGCCTGTGCTCTCTCCTCTCATCCTATCACCTCCCTTCCTTCTTTCCTTCCCTGCCTGTTTCCTCTCTTCCCTGTCTTCCCATTCTCTCCCCACTCCCCTCTCCCCCACACTTCCCTCTATCCCATTTTCCCTCTCTCCCCTGTTCCCTTTATCCCCTCCTCCCTCTCTCTCACATGTCCCTCTATCCTCCCAACCCTCTATCCCCTTCTCCCTCTCTTCCATCTTCCCTCACTCCCGTCTTCCCTGTTTTTCCTGTGCCATGATTCCCCTCTTCCCTTTCCCCCCTCCCTTCCCTTCCCTCCGTCGTCCCTATCCAGACTCTTATTGTCTCCTCCTTTCCATCTCCCCCCTATTCCTACCTCTTCATCTCTCTCTCCTCCCCTTTCTCTATCTCCTCTTTCCTTTCTTTCTATCCACTGACTCATGTTGTGCCAATACAGCTTATGCTAGCACCATAACTTTATCTTATTTTGCCTCCACAGTCTCTCGCATTCATTTCTCGGATTTCGCCTCTACCGTTTATCCCATTCATTTCTCGTGTTTTGCTTCTAGCGTCTCTCGCATTAATGTCTCCCTTTCCTTGACAATTTCAGTGACAAGCATGTGGAGTTTCTATGCTTCAACTTGCCACATTCCAGCAAGACACTCCCGTTGAGTGACAAAGTAGCCCAGTACATTTTCTGGCAGGGGGGGAGAATAACCTTCTATACTAAGCTTCTTGGAAGGGTGTTGCACATATGGAAGTAAGAGAACTCATTGGGCTGCATGTGTCTGACAGTAATCCAACGCTGAGCTTGCATATTGTACCTAAACCCTAAACATGAGTAGGTATAAAACATCCACTAGTAGCATATCTGCTTCATTACGCTGCCCCTCTACTTCAACAGTGCCAATTACGGAGAGGAGATGCCAGGGCAGGGAGATGAAACCTAAATCCTGAATGGCAGGAAGGGGAGACGAATGATAGGGAATGGGGAGTGTTGGAGTAGGCTAGAGCTCGCTCTGGTCCTTATTTTGGTGTTCTTATATTATTTCTCCATGCTTAGAGAGAATTACGCATTCAGGTTCAGTTTAGGTTCATTTCTTAGTTTTTTAGTACAAAGCGAACACACCCTAAGTTCAATTAGGGTTTCCAACCCTCTCTCATTTGTACCTCGACATTTTCTCTTCCTGTCCAACTTCTTTCACCTCACCAAAATCTCTCGCCATCCATGACTTCTCTAACTTCAACATGGTATTCAGGAGCCTAGCCCTAGGCGTTTCCCTTTTATCCGCATCTCTTAGAAATTTTCTGGTCCTTAGGCCATTTCCGCGCTAGACGATTTTTTTATTCTTCTATTTTTTTTCGTTTCTTTAAAGTCACACTTAGCATCCTCGCGGTTTTCTTCATTATAGTCACGCGGATGCTCTATTTCACTCAGTAGCGCGCCTCCCTACTGTCCGTTCGCTCTCCCGCGCCTTCCCCCTTCGTCGTGCCTCCTCCTCCTCACGTTCCCGACGATAGCGTGCTGATTTTTGCGTAGCGTGCTCAGCCACCCCCCCCCCCCCCCCCCCCCTCCCCTCCGCCCCCCTCCCGTCTCGCCGTGCACGCATTGCGCTGCCGTCGCCGCGCGCGCTTTGCTTCGTCGAGCAACGCGCGCGCCTGCCTCCTCTGCGGCGCACGCTGCCCTTTCCCAATCCGGCCTCCCCTCCCTCACCCTCCTCCTCCTTTCCTCTCTCCTTTGTGCATCCCTCTCTATCTCACCTCTTCCTCCTCCTTTCTCTCCTCATCTGTTGCAACTCGTACATGCTTGTGGCGCGCCCTTCCCACAAATCCGCCCCTCCACCATCCTCCTCCTCTCCTCTCTCCCTCTAACTCCCCTTCCGCTCTTTTTCCTCCACCTCTTTTCTCTCCCCATCTTCTGTAGCTGGTGGCTGATTGTGTTTTTTTGAAGTTATTGCTCCTCCACACCTTCCCCCCTCCTTAGTACCCTCCCCTCAACTGCTCAACTGCGAACTCCTTCACAACTATCCCTCCTCTTATTTCTCCCCTCAGCATCACAGCAGTAGACTACCCCCCCACTATCCCTCCTCCTCTAGTTTCTCCCCTCAGCGGCGCAGCAGCAGACTACTCCGCCATATCCCTCCTCCTCTAGTTTCTTCCCTCAGCGGTGCAGCAGCAGATTACTCCGCCACAATCCCTCCTCTTGTTTCTCCCCTCAGCGGCGCAGCAGCAGACTACTCCGTCAATATCCCTCCTCCTCTTGTTTCTCCCCTCAGCGGCTCAGCAGCAGACTACTCCGTCGATACCTCCTCCTCTTGTTTCTCCCCTCAGCGGCTCAACAGCAGACTCATTCGCCCTTATTCCTCCGCCTCTTATACCTCTCCCCTCATCTGCTCTACAGCTGTCTCCTCCTCCTTATGGCGACCTCTCTCACCCTCCCCTCCCTCCCTCTGCTAGTCCTTCAGCTTGCGCCTGATGGCAGCGTAGTCAACTTCCCCAGTTGGCTAAACTGTCTTGAGCGCATGCTGTCTGGCACCCTCGTGAGTGGCTTTAACCTCTGGTTTGTCACTCAGCAGAGTGGTTTTGGCGCCATTCCTAAACCTGCCTCTGCACCTACCTCTACCTCCTCTGACCCCTATACTGATGGCCTTTGTGCTGCTATCGCTGAAACTGAGCGGATTGCGGCCACGGCCCAAGCCACTGCTGCGGCTGCTCCTGACAATGCTGCAGCGCGTGACCTTGCTCGTGTTCTTGCTGAGTCCCTCGAGAGCACCCGCAAGCGCCTCACTGAAAACCTTGCTGCCCGCCCTCCTCGCTCTGCCTCTACGCTCTCTGCTTCTGCTCCATCTCACTCTGACCTTCTCGCTGACTGGCATGTTGCTAACGCACCTGCCTGCCAGGTCATCCTTGCCTGCCTACCTCCAACCCTTCTCCCTCACTGCTCTCACATCCGCTATGCCAAGGACCTTCTCGGCTATCTTACCGAGCGCTTCTAGTCGCAGGCTCCTATCAGTGTCATTGCCCTCTTACGCGAGCTCACCTCTCTTCGCCTTGCTGACTTCACCACCATGGCGGACTACATCGCTCGTGTGCAGACGCTGTTCTCCCAACTTGCCTCTCAAAAGTTTGAACTTTTCGATCATGTGTGCGGTGCCCTCCTCCTCACAAGCCTCACTCCTGAATACAGTGTTCATGTCACTCTGTATGGTGAGCGCCCTGCCGACCAGTGGTCGTTCTCTCGTGTCTCTGCCTTCCTCCTCCAGGCAGAGCTCAACCTCCGCAGCTGCCCTCCTACTGCCACCGCTGTCACACCCTCTTCCGCCCCCCCTCCTCTCCCCACCTCCACTGCCGCCGATGCTTCCTCTCGCCCTCGCAACACCTTTCCTCCTTGCACCTACATCATTTGCCAGGGGCCCCGCAAGGGTCAGCCCTGCGGTCGCACCAATCATCCTGCCTCCTCCTGCTTCCAAAAGCTCACCGATGACTGGTTTCTAGCTGGCAACACTGGTCACCCTCCCAACTGGCTTCAACTCTCTCGTCAGCGTCGCCAGTCTTCTGCCCTGGCGGTACTTGTGGCTCCCGACTCGGGTACCAGTGCTCAAACCTCTGCTCTTAGTGTGATTATGCCTAGTTAGGATAGTATTCTGGGGGCTTCTCCCCTTATGGACCCTCATTTTGCCATGATGTTTGCTCCTTTTGTTAATGGCAATGATTCTCAGTATCATCGTCCCACAGCTGCTGCTCTTTCTCTCCCTCACACTCTTGAGTTTGTTCTTGACAATGGTGCCACTGACTCTGTTTTTCGTGACGCTGGTGTGCTTCGCTCTTTTCCCCATCCCCTCTCCATTCAAGGAGCTGGGGATACCATGACCATGACTTGCACTGCTACCTCCTCTCTTCCCAGTCCTGCCTCTTCCTCTGGTGCTGTGACTGGCCTCTATGTCCCTTCCTGTCGCCACAACCTTCTCTCTCTCTCTCTGCTCTTCAACGTTTTTGTGTGCGAGCTATCTTTCCTGAATGTGACTCCTATTGTGATCTCTATCATCGCAGCCACCATCTTGCACGCTTTACTCTTTCCCCTATCACTCGCCTCTACACTCTTCGTGTCTCTCTCCCCCCTTCTTCCCATCATGCCTCTTCTGCTTCCACCCCTCCTGTTCCCTCTTGCGACTGTCATTCTCTCACTCAACCTACCCTTCTCCTCCATCATCAGCTTGGCCACCCCAATTTTCCCCTTCTTCGCAGTATGGTCTCCTCCAAGCTTCTTCATGGCCTCCCTTTCTCTCTCCCCCCCCTTCCTCCCTCTCTTGCTCCTCCATGCACCCCATGTGTCCAGGCCAAATTATCCCAGTCACCCCATCCCTTGTCTCCCTCTGCCTCTCCCCAACCCCTTGACCTTGTTCATATGGACCTCTGGGGTCCTTCATCTACTGCTTCTCCTCAGGTTCATCGCTGCTTTCTGATTTTGGTTGATGACCACTCACGATTTGCCACTGTCTATCCCCTCCGTGCCAAATCTGACGCTCCCTCCCTCATCATTCGCTGGGCTGAGCAGGCTCGTTTACGCTTTAAGCGTCCTGTCGCGCGCTTCCACTCGGATGGTGGTGGCGAATTCTTTAATCACTCTCTCTCCTCCTACTGTGCCTCTCATGGCATTTGCCAGACCTCCACTCTTCTTCACTCACCAGAACAGAATGGGTTGCCGAGCATCGCAATCGCACTCTCATGGAAATCACTCGCTGCCTTCTCACCCATGCCTCTGCTCCCCACTCTCTTTGGAGTTATGCTCTCCTCCATGCCACTCTACTCTAACCTCCGCCCTCATCCTCTTCGCCCTACTACCACCCCCTTCCAGCTTTGGACTGGCCGCCAGCCCTCTGTTCGCCCTCTTCGGGTCTGGGGGTGTGTCGCCCATGTTCTTGTCAATCCAGCAGACCGGTCCCGTCAGGGTGGGAAACTCGCTCCCAAGACGCAGCTCTGTGCATTCCTTGGCATCAACTCTGACTGTCTTGGCTATCTTTTCTATGCCCCTTCCTCTCACCAACTCATCCGCAGCTAGGACATCATTTTCGATGAGACTCAATCCCCATTCCATTCCCCCCCACCCGCCCCTCCTGTCCCCTCTCTTCACTAGTCTGATTTCGATCAGCCGCCGTCTGTCCTTCCCTCCCCTCCCCACCCCCCCCCCCCCCCCTCCTATCCCGCCCCTTCCCACCCCTCCCTCTGCGCAGCCTCTACTGCCTCCCCTTTTGACATCATCTCTGGCGCCTCCCCACCCGCCTCTTCCTCTTCGGCTCCCCTCCTTTCCTCACTTCCATCTTGCTCTCCACCTCCTTCGTCTGTTCCCATTCCCCCCCCTTCCCCACGCCTTACTCGCTCCATGACTTGCGCACTTTCTAATTTTCAGCACTCAGCTCTTTTCACTCGTCTTTCTCCATCCCAGAATGTTACTCTTCTTGAAGATCGCTTTGAGGAGCTCTTCAATATTCATCTTGTTTCTCCTCTTCTGTGTGTCACCGTTGGTGACTTAAGCAATTCTCCCACTCTTCTCTCTGTCGACACTCTTGCCATTCCCACCCCTCAGTCCTACTCCGAGGCTGTGTCGGGCTTTCATGCCACTGAGTGGATGGCTGCCATCATTGCTGAGTGTGAGGCATTCACTAGAACTAATTCATACATTGACTCTGTCCCCCCCCCTGGCGCCACCATTGTCACAGGCAAATGGGTCTTCCGTGTCAAGCAGCTGCCCGGCAAACTTCCTTTCTTCAAGGCCCGCTACTGTGCCAAGGGGTTCACTCAGCGTGAAAGCATTGATTACTTTGCCACTTACTCCCCCACAGCCCGTCTCCCCACCCTTCGCTTCCTTGACTTAAGTGCTCGCTGGAATTGGGAGATCCATTCCATGGACGTTTCCAATGCTTTCCTCCAGGGCGAGCCGCATGAGCAGATATTCATTGAGCGTCCCGCTGGCTTTCCTCGCCCTTTCCCTCTAGGCACGGTTTGGGAATTGAAACGACCTGTGTATGGCCTTAAACAGGCCCCACGCGAGTGGCACGCCAAGCTCGCCTCCACCCTTCACTCTCTTGGCTTCTCTACCTCCACCTCCGACCCCATTCTCTTCATTCGCACATCCCCCCATAGGCTTTGCATCCTTGCCTATGTGGACGATTTGGTGCCGCTTGCTGAGGACTCCGCCGATCTTGCAGCTGTCAAGAAAGCCCTGCAGGCGCGTCTCATGTGCAAGGACCTGGGCGAGCTTTGTCACTACTTCGGCATGGAGATCCGTCGTAATCGTGCTGCCCGCACCATCACCAAGCCGATCTCCACCCCTCTTCCCGCTATCCATCAACTCAGTGCCCCTGCCGTCCCTGCTCCCTCCTCTAAGCTGCGGCCTTATCCTAAGCTCGTTGGATCTCTCATGTATGCTATGGTGTGCACTCGCCCCGACCTTGCTTACCCCCTCAGTGTTCTCTCTCGCTTTGTTGGCGTAGGCCACCACACTGACGTGCAATGGGCGGCTGCTAACTGCGTCCTGCGCTATCTGCGCGCCACCTCTGACCTTGCTCTCACTCTTGGTGGCTCTGTTCCTCCCGTTCTCTCCGGCTACAGTGACTCTTCTTATGCTGAATCCCGCCCTGATCTCCGCTCATCTCAGGGCTATGGTTTTAATCTTGGCAGTGGTCTCATAAGCTGGCGCTCTACTCGATCATCCTCTTTCTGCCTCTCCACCAACGAGGCTGAGTTGTACGCAGGTACCTTGGCAGCTCAGGAGGCTCGCTGGCTCTCCTTTCTCCTTGCTGAGCTTGGTCACTCTCAGTCCTCTGTGACGCTCTCCTGTGACAGTGCGAGCATGATTCATCTCACTGAAGATCCTATCTATCACGCCCGCAGCAAGCATATCGAGGTCCGCTATTTCTTTGTGCGCGAGCTAGTGCAGTCTGGTTTCTTAATTCTTTGCAAGGTGGACGCTGCTGCCAACCTTGCTGACATTTTCACCAAGGCCCTTCCGCGTGCGCGAGCTTGGGCTCACGCGTCTCTCCACTTATGGGGGTGTGCCGGTTCGCTAGGTGTTTTGCTCCAGAGCTTCACCTAGCCTGGGGGTGTGTTGGAGTAGGCTAGAGCTCGCTCTGGTCTTTATTTTGGTGTTCTTATATTATTTCTCCATGCTTAGAGAGAGTTACGCATTCAGGTTCATTTTAGGCTTAGTGGGAATATACGCATATAGCGTATGTATGCGTATCGTATATACGCTAACGTATATACGCTAAACGCTGAAGAAATTCCTGGGCAGGGTGAAAAAAAATATCGTGCTCAACATCGAGAAGGTATTCGTATTCTCATTAAGAATTTCGTAGCATTCTCTTAAGTCTGAACTTCGATTAGGGTGGGATGTGTAGTAGACACTTTCGCTAGAAGGAAAAGTAGGAATCGGGATGAGCTCTGTTGGGAAGCGGGAAATGTTGAGTGCAGTTGGGCTGGCTGGTTAGTAGCGTGAGTGGGGTTTGTTGGGGGAACGTTTTTGACAGGTTGGAGTTCGTAGATGGGATGGTTTTCAATGCGGTACTAATCAAAATTGTAGATCTGAACTGCCAGACGCGATTGTAAGGCAATTCCCGCTTCCCTACAACCCCGAATTGCACCTCGACTTCGGTGAAATGCTCACCAGGAGATTCCGCATCTTTCCGTATACACACGATTTTTTTCCTCGGGCAGCCCCTAAAAAAATATGAAAGCGCATAGCGTTTTGCGTATGAACGCAAGCGTATATACGCTATACGCTTTAGGTTCTGAGCGTATATTCCCACTAAGATTTTAGGTTCATTTCCTAGTTTTTTAGTACAAACCAAACACACCCTAGGTTCAATTAGGGTTTCCAACCCTCTCTTTTGTACCTCGACATTTTCTCTTCCTAGTCCAACTTTCTTTCACCTCACCAAAATCTCTTGCCATCCATGGCTTCTCTAACTTCAACAGGGTGTACATGGGAGAGAAAGGAGATGGGAGGAAGGGAAGGGAGATGATAAAGTAGATAGGCACATGAAGAGGGGAAGGGGCAAGGTAAACAGGGAGGACAAGCGGACCGCGCAAAGAGAAGGGGAAAGCAAGAGGCAAGGGAAGGGGTTAGGGGCAAGGGGAAGGGCGAGAGCATGAGCAGTAAGAAGGGTCAAAGGCACAAGGCAAGGGGCAAGGGCAAGGGAAAGAGTGTGGGCAAGCGCAAGGGGCAAAGGCAAGGACATATCCCACTCTCATGCATGCTGCACATAAACAGCCCCACATGCCCACCTCAGGGTGCTCAGTGTGCTAGGGCACGCACGCCACCCCATTTTGGGTCGATTCAAATACAAAGCGGCGTGAACCCCCCCTGCTCACCTCGAGATGCACAGTGCACCATGGGCACGCCACCTGCTGCATCATCGGGCCTCCTCCCAACTCCCCAGCCCCATCCCACCTCCGCCACTCCCTGCTATCATCCTGCCATCGCCTGGCCCCGAAGGCAGTAGGGCCACTCGGAATCTCCCCCGCGCTCTCCCCTTCCCCCCTGGAGAGGAGGGAGAGGGGGAGGGGGCGGGGGCAGCGCCGCAGGTGGGACAGGGGGCGGCAGGATGGGGAAGCAACGCCCCCGCATTGCACCTGCTGCACGTGCTCGGCACAGGCGTGCCCGGACCATGCACACTGCCACTGGGGGGGATTACGGAGGGGGGAGGAGGAGGGGAGATGATAGGGAGAGATATGTGGGACAGTGGGGGATAACGATATGTGGTTTTAGAAAAAAAGAAAGTGGGATGGAGAGATGGAGAGACACAGGGAGATAGAGACAGAGGGCGGGAGTATGGGGGGGGGGGGGGGGGGGGGAGAGGGAGTTGAGAGAGCGGTGATATGTTGTAAAGATCAAGAGGAGTGGAATAGCGAGGCGAAGAAGGTTAACGCACTCAAGTGTAAGTAACACATTCCATGCCACCCATCCCTTTCCAATCCACCCAACCCACTCCCACCCAACACCCAACCCACTCCCACCCAACACCCAACCCATTCCCACCCAACACCCAACCCACTCCCACCCAACACCCAACCCACTCCCACCCAACACCCAACCCACTCCCACCCAACACCCAACCCACTCCCACCCGACTCCCATCCCACTCCCAACCCACTACCAACCCACTCCCAACCCACTCCCCCCCCCCCCCCCCCCCCCCCCCCCCCCAACCCCACTGCCACCCCGTCCCCAAGCATGCACGCACCGTGCTGATGCACGCGTTTGTCAGCAGCAGGCAGGTAGTGGGCGCGTGAGCCACCCCATCACGGACGCGACAGCCCCCGCACCTGCGGCGCCCACTGCAGCAGCGGAGGCGGCAGCAGCTGTGGCGGCAGAGGGCACGGAGGAGGGCTTGGAAGAAGACAAGGGCTTGGCGGGTGCAGGCTTGTCGCGACCCACCATCTCCCACACCTGGTGGGAGGGGATAGAAAGGGGGAGGGGCGAGTGGAGAAAGAGAGAGGAGAGCTTGGGGGAGAGGGAGAGGGAAAGAAGTGTTGAGGGGGAAAGATGGGGGAAGAGGCAGGAGCCTGGAGAAAAGTGGGGGGGAGGGCGGTTGAAGAGGGGGGAGGGGGGGATTGCGAAGAGGTAGAGTGGAGGCAGGTGTCGTACATGTTCCGCGCAGCGGCCTTGCGCGCGTGGTAGGGGGATGTGGTGTGCATCTAAAACCCGAAACTCCCCTGCCAAACTCCATGAAATTCCCGGAACATTTCCCCCTCCCACAGGGGATATCTGCTCGCCCTTAGGCTCATTGTTCACCTGCGCCGCCCCACACACCTATAACCTCGATTGACGGCATGAGGTTCCCAGGGCCACAGGAGGAGGTATGCGCTGGCGAAGCCACCATGTTGAAACTAACAGCGGGCATGCTGAGGAGCGGCGTGGCATTGCATGTGGCGCAGTGCGATTATGCCGGGGCAAGGTGCTGACGCACGGGGGGCGAGCGGTGGTGCGACTCACCAGGTCGAGCACGGCATCGTTGATCGATGATGTGGATCTCGACGCACCTTCACGCACCACCACGCCACACCACGCCACACCGCGCCAAGCCCTGCCACGCCTTGTCACGCCACGCCACGCCACGCACCCCACGCCATGCCACGCCGCGCACCCCGCTGCACGCCACGCCGCGCACCCCGTTGCACGCCACGCCGTGCACCCCGCGGCACGCCACGCTGCGCCACGGGGCCAGGCACACGCGATCTATTGGAGGGAAACGGTGGTGGGGCGGTGGTATCCCCCCAATCCACCGAGGGCACTTCGGTGCCTTCGATCCCTTTGACTAGAGATTGGTGGGGTGGCACCGATTGACTTCGGGAGACTCACCCTTCGGTGCCACGTGGCGGCACCATATTCCAACCTTGGAGTTGAAGTCACATTCGGTGTGTTCGGTGAAATTCGGTGGCCGAATTTCACCCAACCGAAATTGTTACACGCGGCGCACTAGCGACACGAAATGTAGCGACTCGATGTTACACATGCGTTTCGATGTAATTGAGTTGTTATAAATTGTGATTACTTTGTATGCATGAGACATATTGAAATCCTGAATCATCTTGTACATGGTCCATTCGAACCAAAATTCCAGAGAGGTCTATCCTTGCTTCTAAGAGCACTAGCAATCACGTCAATGCTAATATCTCGGCGTATACTTGGGGGATTGACGTGTTTGACGGCTCGTTGGAAAGCCGACGCTGTGCTCTATCATTTAGTATAGCTTAGAGTTCCTTCCAACTAGAGGACACGCCTCTACATCAGTGGTATACGAGCTGGTCGGTAGGGTGGACGAAAGAAATGGTGGTCGGTCGGCTTCTCCATGAAGAATCGCGACGCCAAAAATTCGCTAATGAGAGCGTGGAGACCGCCATGTTCTCCGAGGGAGCTCTGGAAAGAAGTCCAAGTGGAGCAAGGGTGAGGCGAAGAAGTCGTCCGGTGGAAACGAGCGCGGCAAAGGCAACGCATCGAACGGTTCGAGCAAGTGCCACTATTGTCGCAAAGCGGGACATTTTTGGCGTGAATGTCGGAAGCGCCCGAGCGATTGGACTCCATCGAAGGCGCGGAACCAAGAGGGCAACGCGCACACGGCATCCGGCGAGGCGGATGATTCAACGGAGTCGCTCGTTTTGTTGGCCGGTGACGGGATCAACACTTCAAACGACACGTGGTTCCTCGACACCGGTGCAACACAACACATGACGCACTCGGCGTCGCTCCTCAACAACATCGGTGCTCCGGGAGACGTTAAGCGCGTCGTCTTCGGGAACGACAAATCGCTACCGGTGGTTGGAGTTGGGAGTACGCGTCTCATCGTCGATAGCGGGCCGGTGAACATCACGAATGTTCTTCACGTCCCGGGATTGAAGGTGAATCTACTCTCCGTCACTCAACTCGCGAAGAAGGACGTGAAGGTTACCATCGATGGCGCGAAGATGAACCTCTTTTGGAAGGGGAAGCAATTCGCGCAAGGCGTACTCAACGGACAACTCTACCAACTCAAGACGCATCCGAATATGGCCTCATCTAACGTGGCGCAAGGCTCCAAGACGACTCTCAAGATGTAGCATAATCGGCTTGCGCACGCCAACTACCATTCGGTTAAGGAGTTGGCCAACAAACGACTTGCGAAGGGATTTGACGTGATCGCCAGCAACGACGAGAAGGGCGTGTGCGCGGCGTGTGTCGAAGGAAAAATGGCTCGCAAGCCATTTGGTAGCCGTACCTCACCCCTCGCTAAGGACCCGCTTGCGCTTGTTCACATGGACGTGTGTGGACCGATGCGGCATGTATCAAAGGGAGGAGCGCGGTTCCTCTTAGTGATGCTCGACGACGCAACACGGATGTGTTGGGCCCGGCTCTTGAAGGCTAAAGGAGATGCGGCCAAGGCGATTCAAGAGTGGGCGCTCGACGTTTGCGACAACGGCAAGAAGCGGATCAAGTGCATTCGCACCGATGGTGGCGGCGAATTCGTGAACAACGAGCTTGAAAAATGGATGAAAAGCAAGGGCATTAAGCACGACGTCACAACACCCTACACACCCCAACAAAACGGAGCGGCGGAGCGACTCAACCGCACACTGGTGGAGGCCGTCCGTTCACTTCTTCAACGCTTCAAGCTTGGGAACGAGTGGTGGGGAGAGGCGAGTGCGCTAGCGGCATGGATTCGTAATCGTGTGCCAACAAAGGTGCTATTGGGAACGACTCCGTTCGAAGCATGGACCGGAACGAAGCCGAACCTATACCGCCTACGCACCTTTGGGTGCCTTTGCTACTACTATGTACCGGATCCACTTCGCCACAAGTTGCAACCGAAAGCTCGTGCGGCGATCTACTTGGGAATTGCGGCGAACAAGCGTGCATGGCGAGTGTGGGATTTGGATGAAAAACGCGTCGTCACGTCTCGGGATGTGATCTTCGACGAAGCCAAGTTCCCGAAAACGGAGAAACAAACGCCGCAACTCACCGTCGTCCTTCCTGCACGAGAGGATGATGAAGCGGTGGAGGTTCCACCGCACGTGCAGAAGGGAGCCGAAAGTGGAGGGGGAGAGAACGAGGAGTGTGATGATGATGTCGAGGAGGTGCCACCAACCGAGGAGGCCACTTCCTCCGCACCTTCTTCCCTACCATTGGCGTTAACTCGCGGGCGTCGTACACCTCGCCCCAACACGAGGTTAACCGACTATGCTACGGTTGCCGTTGGGGAGTTCGATGAGGAGAGTGCGGCACTTTGCCTAGCGACCATTGGCGACGATAACCCACGCACCCACAAGGAGGCTTTGGCTTCACCGGATGCACCGCTATGGAAGCAAGCAATGGAGAGGGAGTTAGCATCCATCAAGGAGAATGATGTTTTCGAGCTCGTCGACCCGCCGAAGGGTGCCTACTTGGTGGGATGCAAGTGGGTGCTTAGGAAGAAATTGGGAGCCGATGGAAGTGTCGAACGCTACAAGGCACGGCTTGTGGCGCAAGGGTACACTCAACGGGAGGGGGAGCACTATAGTGAGACCTTCGCTCCCGTTTCGAAGGCCTCCACTCTTCGGGTGTTGCACGCGCTAGCGGCATCTCTCAACCTTGAGGTGGAACAATTGGACGTTTGCACCGCCTTCCTCTACGGGCTTCTCATGGAAGAAGTCTACATGCGGCAACCCCCGGGGTACGATGATGGTAGCGGACGGGTATGGAAGCTCAAGCGTACCCTCTATGGCTTGAAGCAAAGCCCACGCGGATGGTACAAGCGCATCGACGACTTTCTTCTTCAACACGGCTTCGCGCGTAGTGTGTGTGATAGCGCTTTGTACGTGTTGAAGGAGGGGGAGAAGCAATTGGTGCTTTTGCTCTACGTCGATGACCTCCTTCTTTTCTCCGACTCAAAAGACCTCATTCGTGAGGTCAAGCAACGGCTAGGGGCGGAGTTCGCCATGAGGGACTTGGGACCGGTGACGTACTACCTTGTGATGCACGTCGACCGCGACCACGCGAACGGGACCATTCACCTCCACCAAGAGAAATATGTGAAAGGGGTTGTGGAGCGCTTCGGCATGGGTAATAGCAACCCGGTGGGGACGCCACTAGACACGGGATTTTCTTGCCTCCCGGGAGAGGCAGAATCCGCCCTCGACAATGCGGAAGGGAAGCGGTTTCATTCGCTAGTCGGCTCATTCATATATGCCGCCGTTTCCACCCGTCCCGACCTCTCATACGCCGCCGGGGTACTTGGACGAGCCGTAAGCAACCCTCATACCGAGCAGGTGCGTGCGGGAGGACGTGTTTTACGCTACCTTCAAGGCACACCCAACTTGGGAATCGTATATGAAGCCGGTCCAAACGTGCTTAAGGGCTACACCGATTCGGATTATGCTGGTGATCAAAGCAAGCGAAAGAGTACCGGCGGGTACGTCTTCACCTTGCTTGGGGGAGCCGTGAGTTGGCAAAGCAAGTTGCAACCAACAGTGGCTCTAAGCACAACGGAAGCGGAGTATATGGCACTCACTCAAGGAGCCATGGAGGCAATATGGCTACGGCGCCTTCTAGCGTAGCTTGGGCATCCTCAAGCCGACCCAACTCCTCTCTTTTGTGACAACCAAGCGGCCATAAACCTCACTCACAATGCCGTCCTTCACGGGCGTACCAAGCAAAATGAGGTGAAGCATCACTTCATTCGTGAGGTAGTCGAGAAAGGTGAGGTCAAGGTCACATACATAAGCACCAAGGCGCAACCCGCGGATTTCCTCACTAAAACAATCCCTAAGGATTCATTTCGTGCATGCCGTGAGCGTGTTGGTATGAACACCTAGTGGCTTGGGTGCAAGGGGGAGTGTTGGAGGGAAACGGTGGTGGGGCGGTGGTATGCCCCCAACTCACCGAGGGCACTTCGGTGCCTTCGATCCCTTTGACTAGAGATCGGTGGGGTGGCACTGATTGACTTCGGGAGACTCACCCTTTGGTGCCACGTGGTGTCACCATATTCCAACCTTGGAGTTGAAGTCACATTCGGTGTATTCGGTGAAATTCGGTGGCCGAATTTCACCCAACCGAAATTGTTACACGCGGCGCACTAGCGACACGAAATGTAGCGACTCGATGTTACACATGCGGTTCGATCTAATTGAGTTGCTATAAAGTGTGATTACTTTGTATGCATGAGACATATTGAAATCCTGAATCATCTTGTACATGGTCCATTCGAACTAAAATTCCAGAGAGGTCTATCCTTGGTTCTAAAAGCACTAGCAATCACGTGAATGCTAATATCTCGGCGTATACTTGGGCGATTGACGTGTTTGACAGCTCGTTGGAAAGCCGACGCTGTGCTCTATCATTTAGTACAACTTAGGGTTCCTTCCAACTAGAGGACACGCCTCTACATCACGA